TTAAAGGGAGATATAAGCAAAATTAACAAAATGAGCTTAATTGAACAAAATAAATAAACATATGATTTCACCCATAGAATACAGTTATTAAACATCCAAAGAGTACGAAGAAGAAATAAAGAAAACTTCAACGAGATTTACAGAGAACTTATCTTTCGAAATTGTTATGTACAAAATAAAACAAAGAACACAGATACCTCCAGAGAAGTTTGGAAAGAATAATTTTTCATCTGTCCAATCATCATCTGTTGCATCTATTTGTTTGTCTAATGCTTTCAGATCTTTGTCCTGCAGAAAATATGAATGGATTAATCAGCCAAACATATGCTTAAATTTCCAACACCAACAAAGTATGGAAGAAAACTCCAAAAAGAATCACTAAGCAATAATTAAAATATTGCTAGCAGAAATTCAACCAAAAATAATTTGAAGTCACACGCCCACCCATCCATCCATCATCTGGTGCAACTTTTCAAGTTGAAAACATAACATGTCATTAAGGCCTGCCTATGCGATTCACTGAGCATCCACACATCTAATTAGAATTTACAGCTAATATATTAAAATGACCAGCCTTTTCTTTCACCCTACTACCAGCCAGGAGTTCCAGCTTCATCTGGAGCCCGAGTAGGACCCTTGTTCCAACCTGAAGCTCCAGCTTCATTGTTCCAGCCTTGAGTTTCAGACTTGTAAATTGCTTCGACTGGTAATATTTAGAATTTTAGCATTGCATTGTTCTGAAAAAAAATGGTCATAGTAACAATAATAACTGCAGATGTAGAAACTACCAAAAAACAACCATCTGCAGAGTTTTTTTTTTTTTGGTAGCTGACATCACACTTTTATATTCAGCAGTTGGTAAGTGGAAAATAATGACTGTAATAAGATCACTTCTAATAAGTATGCATCATGGATAAAAAAATGTGATTGGCTATTGGAATAGGACTGGGAAAAATTTCCTACAACCAGAAGAAATGGCAATATAGCTTGGTCCGGTTTAGTGATAAAAGTTTAACTTCCGGTCTTCTAAACCAAAAAATAACATTGCTGTTTACTTCAAACATAAATTTGTGAACATGCCCTTATGAGTAAACTCATTCACCTAACATGCCTTAACTAAATAATATCAACATATTATTCCAGTGATTGTTTCTCATTCACTTTTGCTTCATTTATCATGAAATTATCTCTGGAAGAAAAAAATTTGGGCATGCATGGTACGATAGGAGTTTTAACGAAGCAAGCAGCTGATCTGTAAGCAGTTAAAACAAGCTGCTGGTCAAAAATGGTGATCATTGAACAAGAACTTAAGATAGTGATAAGGTTCAAGGACAATAAATGTTTTTGAGAAATTAAATTGAACAGTAGGTATTCATTAGAAGTGTTTCGTCCAAAATTGAATTGCTCAAGGACAGAGAAGGACATGGACGATGACTAATGGGGTGAAGAAATTGCTGAATATATAGACTTAGAGGTTTCTAAATTAATATATATTAGTGGTTCTTGTAATGGAGGCAGGGGGTACTGCCTACTGAGATCAAATTTCAGTTCTCTGATTTTTATGGGCTCCTGTAATTCCAAATCACAACTTACAAGTATTCTTATCATGTTAATGGTTACACATTATGCCATGTGAAAATAAATCACAGCTTTTTTATTACATAAATACAACAGAAACAATGATAATGTTTTTTTTTCCCCAAATATCACTACTACTTATGGATTTTTATGGGCTCCTATAGCCCCATTATTACAGAGTTCGTTGGAATGTACAAACAAAGAAATGCAATATCACAATTCACAAGCTGTAGCCAACACCAAGTGCCACAACTAGAGAACAATTTCATTGAGACTATACATCAAACACTTTCCTAGTAAACATCAAATAACATAAAATAACAACAATAGACAGCCGAATTCACTTACCAGGGCAATGGTAGGCAGCCCAATTTCAAAACCAAAAACAAAAAACAAAAAAAAAAAGGAAGGCAGCCCAGTTTCCAAAAAAAAGGGAAGAAGACGAACCAGTGGTGTTAACTCCCTCGATTTGAATCAACAACGTGTTTGGATACTGGTTCGATTTCGGTCTCTTGTACCCTAGTATCGTCCCTCTCAAGTACAGCCTGCAGCCAATCATGGAATTAAGACAAAAAAATAGTGAAATAATAACAAGAAATATAGATATATGTGTGTAGAGAGGCACCTGACGCGTTCTCCTTGACGTCCTTTCATTTCCGGTAGCTGGTTTTCGTATTGGTGGGGCGGGAGGGTTCTGCTATATTACGAAGTGGAGAACACCACGGAGTAGAGAGTAATTTTTTTTTCAAAAATGCTACTTCTACATCAAGAATTGTACATAATGATATATATCACACTCACATGGGGGTGGGACCCACGTGTATAAAATATTTTTTTATTCAAGCGGGGTCCCACCCCCCATGTGACTGTGATGTATACGCCTATGTACACCTTGATGTACCGGTA